GACTTGCGCTGCTTGGTGAAGAAACACCACGGACACTCTCTTACGCCGATATTTTCGAAGCTAAAAATTCATTGGAATTAAGATAGTACCGTCTTCGAAATTAGGAAGCAAAAGAACTTGAGATAATTCTTTTATGTCTATAATTGTGATAAGATATTTCCATACAAAAAAGGCATTCAAATTGAAAATTTTCACGAGTAAAAATTGAAACGAAGAAACAGTGAATAATTGTGAATTAATCTAATACCACTGTGATTATTGCATCTGATTTGAGTAGCTTGCATAATGACGACTTATATAAATAATAAAAAAATATTTGAAGGCCTTGAAAGCGGAACTGGAAACACAGCCCTCATGTTTTCTTGTCCTGTGCGAAAAAGAGCATAACCACGACGCATTTTCTAGTTTGTTTGGAAATAACGACCTAATAACAGGCTTTAAGTTCAATATTGAAACACTGACATCTATGAAATTATGGTGCAATAAAATTTCAAGGTTTATTACATGATAACACAAAACAATTTTGTTGGTCATAGTTCATTCAGTCAACAGTTCCTAATACTTCAGAAATCTGTTTTATAGTGTCTGTTTTATAGCAAGAAAATCATGAAAATGTCATCGAACGATGTACCCAAGGGGATCTGCACTACCTGTCTGGTCCTAAACAGATATAAATTTAGTCCTTATTGCTCAGAGATAAAAGCTTATTTGATTAAATTGTCCCCTTTTCAAAATTTGTTTGGTTCTAAGCCATACGGCACATTGTGACGACTTGCTCTGGATAACTTATGAGTAAGTCATACTTGAGAAGAAAAAATGCCCTTGTTGTTTTTTGAAGAACAGGTGTTACTCTTTTTTTTGTTGGATACATTTAAATTCTTGTATTACGCGTGCTCACGTAATATAGAAAGAGACTATTCTTGAGCGCATATACATATGTATGTGGTAGACAACATCACGTTTAGGTTGATATAAGAATTGAGTCTACTGTACACCTTTTTATAGTTTAAAGAGTAGTCACCTTTGTTCACGTGTCCTGATATTGATAGTGAGCCGCACCTGGTTAGCAGAATCAACAATCGTGTATTAATATCAAATGAGGCTTTCTGAGAAGAAAATCTCGATATAAAGTTTTTAACTGTCGCTGTACCATATTCTTCATTAAAATACAAATTTTGTAACAGGACATGTTGCTTGTGACAACTGAATAATTCTAAAAAACTTCCATATAAGTGCGGATAATGATAATATTTGCAGAAATGCATTACAGTAGAGATTTAGGTACTACGGTTTGCAAAAACGCGATAGCTTTAAGCATGTAATGCTGATGCCTCTGACGCCTCTAATTCGAACTAGAAGGCTGGTCCGACAAGCTCACATGTTTCGCCAAAGCTATTCATCTCCTCCTTGCAGTGCATGATGAACTGGATTGGAACGAGTTCTATCCGAGGTGATGAAAGATTCCTCCGAACCTCCGTTTTGCTTACAATGTTCTCTTT